CCCTAATAACGGTCATTAATATTTTCGTGGATTGCTCAAAAAACTATTAATAAGTCGACAAAATGACACTTTATGAATATAAAAATATCCAATAAGATCTCGAGGATCAAATCGCTCTAGCCACTAGCAATAGCAAGTTAGCAAATGCCATTAATAGAATATTGAAGATTCTACAATTTAAAAACACTTCAAAAATTCATAGACACTGAAAAATCAATTTAAATTCACCAAGATAATTACCTACGTAATTTACATACCCAGAAACACGATATTTTCCTCATATGGTTTTTCTATTACTCTGTAGTTTGTCTTTTAGTTAGGCAGCGCTCACGAACGCGATATCGCCAATAATCGCAAACCAGTGTAAACCAGTGCGAGCGCGAATGCCGCCCGCTTGAGACGCGTTTGTATGCGTATTCAACATGAAGTACAACTAGGTGATTGTCTTCTGCTCATAGAGATAATAATTATAGAGAGATGCCAACTAATGCGCTGAGTTCGAAACTCAGTGTCGCATTAGAAATTCACGGACACAAAGTAATAATAAATAAATAATAAATAAATAAATCTTAGGACAATTTCACACAGCGCCAGCTAGCCCCAAAGTAAGCAACTTAATGCTTGTGTTATGGGTGCTAGCTTAACGGATACTACTTATATACTTTTTTTTTAAATACATAAATATTATACATAGTCACACCCAGACCCGTCACAGAAATTAAAATTCATCATTTCAATTTCTGCCCGGCCGGGAATCGAACCCGGGACCTCTCGGCATAGTAGTCCGTTCTGAACCACTACACCAAACGGCCGACAAAAGTAATCAAAATATGTGCTCATTAACCACTGCGGTATCAGTACTCAACGTTCGAATAATCTAAACTGTTTACATTAAGACGTCGCTGCTGTCATCATTGCTGTCACGAGCAATGTGTTCGTTTTTGGGCATATTGCTGCGACACCGGCCCCGCCTAGGGTTGCCAGGTCCACAATCACAAAAGCCGGACTTTGTGCTTCATTTGGCCGGACATTTTACCCTAAAAGCTCATGAGTGAGTACTATCATCATATCGGTTGCTAACCAACATCCTGATGCGTGCGCTTCATAATGATTCTGTGGCTCGACTTTTGCCTGGCGCGGCAACCAAATAAAAAGCCTAACAAAAGCCGGACAGGCCGGACAGGGCAATATTTGGCCGGACAAGTCCCTAAAAAGCCAAACATGTCCGGCTAAAGCCGGACGCCTGGCAACCCTAGCCCTGCCCCCTTGTCACATCTTCCTTTAGTTTCTGTGATCTGTGCTCCTCATCATCATCATCATTTCAGCCATAGGACGTCCACTGCTGAACATAGGCCTCCCCCAATGCTTTCCATGTTGATCGATTGGTAGCGGCCTGCGTCCAGCGCTGTGCAGGATCTGTGCTTCTGCTACTGTCTATTTTGTGCCCTATGTGGTACCACAGAATAAGTAATAGTACAGGTACAGAAGGATTACTCCGCAAGACGATTTAAATAAATGCGAGTCTTGCTACGACGCGATACAGTGGAATTCAGCTCGCACAGCACTACGTACCTACAATTTTATTCACCTACAAGTTTTGTCTCTTTCTATCGCGTGCCTCTGAACTTTTCTTACGCTGTTAGGGTTGCTGTCTAGTGAAAAAATAATTAATCTTCTTATTTGTAATGAGGTACGACGTACGTAGGTAAGTATTACTGTTATTTTACCTTTGTAAAAATAACATTTCAAATATACCTACTTAGGATTAAAAAAACTTATTTTATTACAATGTCTTCATTGATACCTATTTTAACACAAGACGAATAAATTAAACATACTATTACAGAAAAACAGAAGAATCCTATACTATCCTAAGAATTATTGATTACCGACATGGCCAACATACCTTTCATCATCATTCTTTGGGAAGCGAAAAAAAAGATAAATCCGGTAGATTTCTTTTCGAATTTAAACACCCGAACGCCGCACAATATTTCTTTCTCTTTATGTCCATTTTTAAATAATACTTCGATCATAGAATTACGAGTGGGAATTTTTCTAAAATCTCAAGATGGACTGACTGAAGATAGCAGGAAGACGCTGGGTGCAGGCCACTATCAACTGGGCGATGTGGAAATCATTAGAGGAGGCCTTTGTTCAGCAGTGGACGTCCAGTAGCTAAAATGATGATGACGATGTTTCCTTACAGTATCCAATTCAATAGGCAGAAACTAAACGTAAACGAAGTGTCGCCTCTGTAATGGTATCATTATCTATAACTCATAATTTTTCGTGCGCTGTTGGATGACAGTTTTAAATTAGAGATGGTAATTTTTTTATCGAATTAGAAAATACCAGTTAACGATTCTCAAGGCGATTATCGATTACATTAGATTTTAATCGGAAAAAAAAATAATTAATGGCTTAAGCATCAGTATGAAGCCCATACGCACTTGTAGCACAAGTAACACGATTAGCCTCAGTCAGCCTCAGTTTAGACATTAAAGAAAATATTTATATGACTATGCAAAAGGCTGCGATTCTCAACACCTGTCGTATCGTCAGAAAGTTCATGCAGGACGACTCCAACTCCGCTATCAATTCTGAAAACTTAACTCACTTGGCATGAGCCCGTGAGTTATGGTTAAAACTGAAGACCATAGGGACTTCGAGTAAAAATAAAGAAAACGTAACAATAATAATAAATACTCTTTATTGTACACCACATAAAAAGAAACAGAAAGAAAATAATAAGAGAATAATTTAAGTAGCTGAACTTTTTTGCTATTGAGCACCATGAAAATTTAACACAATTTAGCCGATTTGTTTATTTTCACAATCGTTTCACAATGTCTATGATGAGGCGACCGCAGGAACGTCACTATTCGTGCAATCCTATCAATGAAGTACGACATTTTCTGGTGCATAGTACAGGTACAGAAGGATTACTCCGCAAGACGATTTAAATAAATGCGAGTCTTGCTACGACGCGATACAGTGGAATTCAGCTCGCACAGCACTACGTACCTACAATTTTATTCACCTACAAGTTTTGTCTCTTTCTATCGCGTGCCTCTGAACTTTTCTTACGCTGTTAGGGTTGCTGTCTAGTGAAAAAATAATTAATCTTCTTATTTGTAATGAGGTACGACGTACGTAGGTAAGTATTACTGTTATTTTACCTTTGTAAAAATAACATTTCAAATATACCTACTTAGGATTAAAAAAACTTATTTTATTACAATGTCTTCATTGATACCTATTTTAACACAAGACGAATAAATTAAACATACTATTACAGAAAAACAGAAGAATCCTATACTATCCTAAGAATTATTGATTACCGACATGGCCAACATACCTTTCATCATCATTCTTTGGGAAGCGAAAAAAAAGATAAATCCGGTAGATTTCTTTTCGAATTTAAACACCCGAACGCCGCACAATATTTCTTTCTCTTTATGTCCATTTTTAAATAATACTTCGATCATAGAATTAGGTACATACTACAACGCACGCCAGCGTCCTAACGGGCGCGCGCTGACACTCGACTGATATAATACCCGCCGGCGGGGCGCTTCGCTGTAGGTAATAGGCTTTTCGCCCAAATTTCAATAATTAGTTAATAATATACCTTGATGCCTATTTTATACAAATGCGCTCTTATTTTGGAAAAAAATCTCATCTCCAACATTGAGTTATAATGTACTACGTACTAGAGAAGGCATGTCAACTAGACTGTTTCTGGCACGTAAATAAGTCCACGGACCGAAATTCAATTAGTATGTGCTCAGCGGTTGCTGTGACAACACGCTTGAGTGCAGTTTTGTTTTTTGAAATATGCCATCCTATAGACGAAAATACTGTTCAAATAACTCCAGATACATATTAAGTAAAAATCAAGGAATGACTTTTTACCATTAAGTTGTACATTTATGCACTTTAAAACACTAATTTAATTTTAATTTGTTAATTACAAGGCGGCAGCCATTTTACGAAAATTTCAAAGAATAAACATCGCAGAATTGACACTGACGCATAAATTAGTATACGAAAGGAAGGTTAAATACAGCAATAAAAAGATTTTTTTTAAAGATTATAAGCACTTTGTATTGCACAAATCCCAACTAATATTATAAATGCGAAAGTAACTCTGTCTGTCTGTCTGTCTGTCTGTCTGTCTGTCTGTGGTTACAAAAATAACCTTCTAGCAACACTCAAATGTTGGCAATGACAATCTGGCCTAAAAGGGCTCGCACCCAGAGCCGTAAAAAACTATATTTAAAAAGATAGAAAAAATGACGTAACGCTTTCTGATTGGTGTTTGCTGTCACGTGACTTATGGGCCATTTTTTCCGAATTTATTTGCTAAAAATATAAATAATCTTTAATTATTATTTTATGTAGTTTCGTTTTTCATTAATTATACGACTATCTTAATAGTTATACAATCTTATACTGCAGATTTATTCACTATGGATACAAGCCTATTATCGGATGTACCGCGCGGAGTGAGCCAGGCCTGGTGGTACTTTATGAGCCGCCTACCTTGGAAATGGCTCAAAGTACTTATTTACCGTGGCACAAGGTATGAATATGCACAAAACAATTGGTGCGAGAATGATATGATGGAACAAGGGAGCAAATTGAGTTTCAGAAAATTACAATGTAATATTATAATGTATAGTTCGAATATTAATATTGACGAAGGAATATACAGATAGGCACGTAATACCCTAGAGAGGCGTTTACTACTAGCAAATTGTCGCAAATATGACAAAACTAGATGAAAACCCGGCTTCGCTCGGGTGAAATTTGACTCATAATACACAATTCTAGGTGCAAAATGTAGATAGATGTTTCTGTAGTCATCGGTTCTCAAAGAATATTAAATATAGATTCATATAGCTTCGTTAGTTGTGTTTAATAAATATGGTAAATAAAAACTGCAAATGTTTTTACACAAATTATTTTTATTTAAAATCAACATTCAAAATAAACTAAGACAAATTAACAAAACAATCAAATTCAATCGTTAATAATATAGATTACCTATGTAAATAACTCTTATTAATAGTCAGAAACGGGATCAGATAAGTGTAAAATACTATTTTCATCGATATCTGGCTCCGGAAGTCCGAAATCTGTTAGTCTCTTTCCGTGGAGTTCTAATGTTTCATCAATAAATTTCTTGTAAAGCCAACTGTTTGGATAATATTTCAGGGCGGGATCTTGTAAAGTATTCGATAAAATGTGATGCAATTTTTTCCCAAAGAGCATTAGGATCAGTTACTTCACAAAACACGCAAATTAACGCAAACAGCTGTCGTAATTGCCGAGGAAGTTTGAAACCAATTGCTTCATCCAAACATCTTTCCCATTCTTGATCGTCAAAAAGCAGCCCCCTTGCTTGAGCAGCTTCTCGAAATGATGTGTAAATAATATTTTCATATTAATAAGTTCTAACATCTCTGAAGCAAGTCGGCCCTTTGACGTGAAGAAGTAATAGCCAGAGATAATATCGTTCCCGATCAGAAAAGGAATAATTATACATTCTTGCAATTACTTTATCAGCCGCTGACTGAGGTATTCGTGGTTGCCACCGTCCATGGATACATCTGAAATATGTCGGAATTTCAGTGTAAAGATATTGTCGAGCACTTTCATCTGTTCTGTTTAGTTCAAAAAATGCTAATAATATTTCTGGAATTGGCTTTAAGACTGTCTGGGTCTATGTATACCTTCCCATTATGACAACAATTTTTAAAATGATTTTTAATTTTTTCACCTAAAAAATGAAGTGCTTGACATTGAACACATTCTTAGATCATAGAACCAACTGAATGTACTGATACTTGAATGGTGCTATTTGAAAGTGCTAAATATAAATAGTTAGTCCTGGGGGGCTGATATTCTGTACTAAACCTCTTGAATATTTACGTTTTTTCGGGTGTCTGCCCGCCATTTGATATGTTTTCTTTCTCTTCTTCTTCTTAAGAAATAAAATCACTGCTGACTGACAGCAGCTGTTTTTCCTTGTTGTCCGAAGAAGCATCATCACTGCTGACTAACAGTAGCTGTTTTTTCTTGTAGTCCGAAGAAGCATCATCAATCATCAATGAATCCTCGATTAGCGTCAACTCTTCGTTATCAACCTTAAAAGAGAAATATATTTATGAATAGCTAATTTAAAGCTTTAATTTAAATTTTTAATGCTATATTGTGTTACTCTTATTAAACAAATTTAATAAGATGTGATGAAAAAATACACCACAACAAATACACAACCACATGCAGGAATTGAACCTACATCCTCGACTTCTCCGTTGTCGCGCTCTTACCATCAGAGCTAACTGAGTTTAATAAGAGAAATATATTTTATTTTTAGACAAATATTCAAATAATAATAAGTATTGTGAATGTATGTCGGTGTAGAGTAGGTATATCCTCCCACCTCTATATTTATTTTACTTTACTCAGTAACCTACACTATTAACTTACCTGAAAATCATCAAATAAATCTTGTGATGCAGCAGAAGCAGCTTTTTGCTTTTTAGGAAAAAGGTTTGACAGTGCCCGAGCCTTGTTTATTCTTAACTGCCTAATTGTTTCTAAGCCACAACACTCGCAATAATTGAAATTATCTGCAAAAATATATTACACAATTATTTATAATAAGAACCAGCCGAGCTCAAGTGGAACTTGCGCATGAAGGAGTCTATTCCGTTATCAGAAAAAACGGTGCAAAAATCGTGTCTGTTTCTGTATTTATGTTGATAACAACTCAACACAGGCTATGCATGTGGTCATTTATTATTATTTTTCGGGTTAAATAAAAAAAAATTAAGCCGCTTACCGAGTATAATGTTGTCGCATTCCACACATCGACTGCACATTTGAATTTGTTTGCCGTTTCTTACAAATATTTTGCCATTACAAAAATTGCATGTCACTGGAATTTATATCACTGTGCGAAACTAAATGACATTGACATTTGAACTTCAATCAACTTTTATGGATAAGGCTAATATTCTTTTTCTGTGGTTGAATCGGCCAATACCAGGTTTAAAGAAAAAACACATAAATTTTTATGCATTTATTTATGGATCGATGACAACCCAGCAAATAGTTTATAATATAAGGTTTTGGCGTTGATCGCATAGTGAGTGGATGGTGAACAGAACTACTAAAGATGGCGACAGCGGTTTGTTTGTCACTTTTGTCAGTGCCATCGGAATTTAACGAAATTCTCCATAATCCGAATTTTGCGGATATATGTTGTCGACTCAAAATCGTTATTTTTTTATGCTTTGTTATTCATATAAGGTTTCGATCCAGTCTACCGTACCCCTTGACGAAATTATTAATATAGAAGAACGTAACGAATTTACGAGTATGTACTTTATAAGGGTCATTTTAAGGGTTTTATTAGCTATATTCATAAAAGCTAAAGGTCACTGATTGACTGACTGGCTCACTCACTCACTCATCACGAAATCTCAGAAACTACAGGTGCTAGGAGTCTCAAATTTTGCATAGGGCTCTTTTTAGAACGTAGGTGCTCACTAAGACGGGATTTTGCAAAATTCAACCCCTAAGGGAGTAAAACGGGATCCATGCGTGACGCGCGCGAAGTCGCGGACGGCCGCTAGTGACGTTATATCGAAGTCTACACACAAGAAAAGATTGAAAACAGCTGTGTGATTGATCCGAATGTTACAATTTAACCAAAAATGGGCCTTAATCAAGATTACATTTGAATTTGAACCAAGTTTTGTCTGTTTTTGACGAATACGTTACGTAGCACATTTTATTATGTAGATTATTTTGTTATTTTTTCTTTTTGTTGCAAAATAGCACCTCATTATAACTAAGCACTTAACATGCCGCAGAGTTTAGCTACAATAAATTCAGATTTTAATGAGAAGTAGGTATTACTTAATTAGGTTTTAGTACTTATTTTACATGTTTTCCTCTTATTTTCAGAGTCAGAAGAACGTCAATTAGAAGTGATAGATAAGACTAGTAAGATCTTTTAGTGTTTTTCTAATTATTCAAATTAATTAGAACGATAATATCTTCATCTAGTAGTTTTTTTCCAATGATCTCTGAATAAAAATGCAGAACCATAAAGCATACAAAACCGATTACTTAACAATGATCTAAACTTAAAGTATAATTTGGAAATAACTGACAATTATCTCTTCTTGTTATTTGTTTTAAAAAGTAGGTACTTTTTATTATAATTACACAGCAGTAAGTAGTAGTTAAAAGAAAAAAATAGACTAAGTACTTAAATTGACTTTTTTTTTACGTTATCTTAAAATTAAGGACATTTTTATGACGAGGGGTTGCTATTTGAGGCTTCCGGCGACTGGGACCGCAATTAACTGGGACCGCGGTCCCAGTCGCCGGATGCGTAAAAATTAAATAATTTTCTTCCGGCGACTGGGACCACTCATAGATAACTTTAAAGAAAATATTATTCAATCCAAAATCGGTACAGTACTAAAATCCATGAGTGGTCCCAGTCGCCGGAAGAAAACTATTTAATTTTTACGCATCCGGTGACTGGGACCGCGGTCCCAGTTAATTGCGGTCCCAGTTGACGGAATCCTCGCTATTTGGCTTGTTGTCATGGCGACAGACTTCAGGTAAGCTGATGGTACCTCCAACCTAACAGCAGAAAATTTTGCACCCGCAGGGAATCGAACCCGGGACATCTGGGCCTGAAGCAGGTTCGGTCTTCCACTAGAGTCTAAGGGACTATTCCCACCTCTCGTTCCCACCACTGCAACTCCTGTGTAGCCAGAATCTACAGCTTGACCGCCACAAAAACCCAACCAATGAAGGTCAAGTTCCACTAGAGTCTAGTGGAAAAAAGTCTAGTGACTAGACTTTTTTAATGTTCTTCAATGGTTATTCTCTTTTGAATGCAAGGATGCATTAAGAAGACTAATTTCTTCAATTACCATCACCATAAAATTATTTTGTGCCGTCACAAAGTTCGCTAAGGATTTAAAAAGTGAAAATTTCCTAGTGATGTGCACGTTTTTACATGACCGGCTGTGGTGGGAATGTAAAATCTTTGTAGGAACGACCACGCGCGTCTCCTGGGTCGTGGCGTGGCGTCAACGGATGCCCTGAGCTTAGGGTTGTCATTAAATAATAATAACATAACAAAAAAATATCTAAAAGCGAAAGGACACTGACTGACTCACTTATCACGACATCTCAGAAACTACAAGTGCTAGGAGTCCCAAATTTGCATGAGGGTTCCTTTCTGAACGTAGGTGCTCACTAAGACGTGTTTTTGCAAAATTCTACCCCTAAGGGGGTAAAACGGGGTCCACGCGTACGAAGTCGCAGGCGGCCGCTAGTTCCTAGTAATAATAGAAGAATCGCTCTATCATTATTTACTTAAACTTTTATTTTAATAATCTTATATCATATTCTATTCTCGAAAGATATTCCAAGTGTACATACTCTCCATAACTCGCCGAGGAACTTTGAAATAACTAATGCTTTCCGTGAATCTTCAAGAATATTGTTTTTCATCGTACTTCTTCGAATTTTCAGATATTTTCTTGAGTGATATCTAAAACACTTATCACAATATTATTAATTTTATTAATTTGATTACTAAGCTGATCTTAAAATTTAAAAGGTAAATATAAACGTGACTCAACCACAGAATAAGTAATAGTACAGGTACAGAAGGATTACTCCGCAAGACGATTTAAATAAATGCGAGTCTTGCTACGACGCGATACAGTGGAATTCAGCTCGCACAGCACTACGTACCTACAATTTTATTCACCTACAAGTTTTGTCTCTTTCTATCGCGTGCCTCTGAACTCTTCTTACGCTGCTAGGGTTGCTATGCTGTCTAGTGAAAAAATAGAATTAATCTACTTAGGTATTTGTAATGAGGTACGTATGTAGGTAAGTATTAGTGTTATTTTACCTTTGTAAAAATAACATTTTAAATATACCTACTTAGGATAAAAAAGTACTTATTTTAATACAATGTCTTAATTCATACCTATTTTAACATAAGACAAATAAATTAAACATACCTACTATCACAGAAGAAAGAATGACATCATACCTACCTACTTACTACGCAATCACGAAACGGCTACATCATAGAACGAGAGGCATCACCCGAAAATCATATTTGTATTTGGCTTTGCACAAACTTAATCTAATGTTACTCGCTGTACTTTGGCAACAATTTATTTTTTACTGAATATTGTTGGGGTACCTATGCATTATGGTAAAAGAACTAGCTTGTCGTAATTTGGTGTATCGATGTTACTCTTCCGTTTCATTTACCTACACGGAAAGGTAATAGTTAATATTTTAACGATAAAATTCTTAAAACATCATAAATTGTATTCAAAAGAAATTATTTATTAAAGGCAAAACATCAAGTCCCGACGGGCGTGCGCGTGACACTCGACTGATATAATACCCGCCGGCGGGGCGCTCCGCTGTAGGTAATTATCGGATGTACCGCGCGGAGTGAGCCAGGCCTGGTCCGTCCGTCCGTCTGTCAAGACCCTTTTTCTCAGGAACGCGTGGAGGTATGAAGCTGAAATTTATATCAATTACTCAGGTCTACTGTCCCTTGAAGCTGTGAAAAAATCAAACTTCTAAGCCAACGCAATCAAAAGATACAGCCGTTTATGCCGCAAATTTTCGACACTTGCAAGGGAATCAAAACCTACAGGGTGCTTCCCGTGAACTCAGAATCTTGAAATTTGGCACGAAGCAACGTCTTATAGCATAGATAAAGGAAAAATTACGAAAACCATAAATTTTAAGTTACATCACATAATATATTTTTTTAAATAATTTTAAACTTACTACCCATTTCCTCATAAACGCGTAAAGGTATTAAATTGAAATTCATACCAAATACTCAGGTCTATAATACCTTTAAGCTGTAACAAAATCAAACTTCTATGTCAACGCAATCAAAAGAAACAGCAATTTAAGCTGCATATTTTGAAACTCGCAAGTACTCGCAAGGGAATCAAAACTTAAAGGGTACTTCCAGTCGACCTAGAATCTTGAAATTTGGCATGAAGCAACGTTTTATAGCACACATAAAGGAAAAATTCCGAAAACCTTAAATTTTTAGTTACATTACAAAATATATATTTTTTAATAAATATAAACTTATTACTTTTTTCCTCAATTTCATTTTGCAATAAAAATACCATAGTTATGACTCGATTGTCGTAATGAACGAACTTTGTAAACTTTGCAGGTTTGTACGGAACCCTCGGTGCGCGAGTCCGACTCGCACTTGGCCGGTTTTTATTTAATTATCTAATTATTTTGTATTTTTCCGTAGTTATTATGATATCTTGTGTTTTAGTGTTGAGTGGAACCTTTTCGTTGATAAATATAAAAATAACTGATTGCGTTCAAACAATTCAATACCATTTATCCATATAATTGAAAAACATTAAAATATTAATGATTAATCCATAGGTAGTGCCCGTGACGAAAAATCAGAGTTTAGACGAACATAAAAGTAATTTTGTGCGATGCTAAAGTTAGCATGTGTGTTGTTGCTAGCAACGAATGCCCTAGCCGTTGACCTCAAAGGGACAGAAATTGTCATGACATTTTTGGTAAGTTAACTTTATTTAACTTTAAAATTGGCCCCAAATAGGATTTGATCTTTTGTTTACCTGGCGCCGCTCAGAACCCAGTGGTAGCTCAGATACTTAGTTCTTTATTTATTTTATGGCAAGTACCTAGTACCCGTTCGCGCTAAGTTTGCCGGTCCGTGGAATGCGCGTCCCAACCGCGATTAAACGCAATTAGTGATTAAACGCAATTGAGTGTTTTATTTTACGCAAATACACAATTTTTATCAATATTAATAAATAAAAAATAGACGCATTCCTTCGAGTGACGTCATATCGCCAGCGGCAAACTTATCGCGAACGGATAGTACCTACTACAGCAACAGAACGGAGTTATGGAGAAAATTGGTGAATCTGTCAATATGTTTATGTTTATTTAATCAATCAGCCATCAGCTAGCATCAACACCTAGTTGTAATTAATTAAAGCCTTTTTTGCAATACAAATATTATTGGCAGGTAGCTAATTGCTCACAAGAATGATGCTTTCAAGATTTATGCTTACTGTCCGTGGTGGATATCTTTTCTTAAACCTTTGTTTTGTCACCTGTCATCCGCTTTGCACTGGATTCGAATCTTAACTTAGAACTCCTCCTATGTTCTTCTCATTAAATTCATTGCGGGTCCAATTACAGTTTCACTTTCTCCCGGGACAAACTTGACTTACACTGGTTGGTCTTTTATTGGCGGTCAAGCTGTAGTTCCTGGCTGCACAGGAGTTGCAGCGGTGGGACGAGGGTGGGAATGGTCCCGTTAATTACCTACCATTAAGTAATTAATATACTTATTGCTCATAGGTGCATCGCCATGGCGACAGAACTCCCGTGGAGCCCACGTTATCTTTCAGCACAAATCCCATCAAACTGGCTGAATTAACCATGCCTTACGGATATGGACAATTGACAAAGGTAAGTGATTGATATATTTAATAATGACATGAATAAATATTTGTAGGACTGTCAGAAAAAATATATTTATTCATTTTTTATCAGTGAGTAAATTAATAGTCCTGATTTTGGAGCTGTGATGATGAATTTAATTAGGTATTCACTAAGAACTCTTTTAATATTATAAGTAATTTGCGTACTAAGTATATGGCCTTTTAAATTGTCCCTTAAAATTAGCTAATCATACAATATTTTTATCCAGGCCGGCAAAACCCGTGCCTACAAACTCGGTCAGTTCATCAGGAACCGGTACAGGTTCATATCACCCCAGTACAACCGATCCGAGGTGTACATCAGGTCGACCGATTCCACCAGGGCCAAGATGACGGTCCTATCGGTACTGGCTGCCATGTACCCGGCCACGGAGAAATTATTTGACGAAGATATCAAGTGGACCCCGGTGCCGTATACCACGGTGCCTATGAAGTATGATTTTGTAAGTTATTTTTTATAACATGTTTTTTGGAGCTTGTCCAGATGACGCGTTTTTACTCGCGCGATATTGAGTATTAGAGGTTCATACATTCTGTCTACATGTAGTCGCGCGTTTTGCCTATGTAATATGAACCTCTAGTCTCACGATTTAGACCAAACAAGAGTAAATATTAATCTCAGAATAAATCGTCAGTTTTGACATATTTCCCATACTGAAACTACTATTGTGCCAGTTATACCAGGAGTTATTCTCGGATAAAAGTTTGGTCGAGTCGGGCCTAAGGCATCGACAAGCCCTTAGTGAAGGAGTAAATATAGGAGTTGCTTCTGCCATTTTAAAGCACCAGCCGATATGCTGTCCTGAAGTGGAGTTAGGGCAAGCTATACGTGTATCGTTTATTTCCGCCAAATGACGTTTACTGCTAGACAAGGGCCCCCAAGAATTTCCACAAAGATCGGTCCTCCGCTACCCACACCAAGGTACTTCCCGCGACCTTTGCAAGATCATCGGTCCACCTAATGGGAGGCCTGCCCACCCGTGGACTTGGCTCGAGAACTTTCTGCTGTTTGGGCGTGTATAAGTGCCCTAAAAAGCCTACATACTAATAATTTTGAATACTGATAAATGTTAGGTACTTTGCAAACAAATATGTATTGTGCAGATGACTGTAGTTTACTTACTTTTTTGTTAGTGCATTTTATATCTTGCTGTAATTGGTTTATTATCTTTATAGTTTCCTATGCACGTCAAATTACTTAAAAAATAAGACTATACAATAAAAAAATAGTTTACGCAGGTACCGGAATAGGTTTCACTAATCTTAAAATACAAAAATATCAATTTATATTTGAGTTTGAATCGTGTCAATTCGAGCGAAAAAGGCCTCCACCATAATGGAGTACCTACTTATAGAGGAAAACTTGAATACTTTAATTCCCGGTTACCGCCTAAACTATCGGCCTACCAAAAGTAGTCGGCTGGGACTCTTAAGTAGATCCTGAAAAGATTATTCACCATGGCATACCCATTCAAACTTTATTTCCTTCTTTTCCGTTCCAGAACCTAGCAACACTCAACTGCCCAGTATTCTCCAACAACTACATAAATCTATTACCTGCATCGTCAGACTACATGAGCACCCATGGCCCAGCTGTGGATCTCCTGGCCAAGCAGACCAGTCGTCACGTGTCGCAGCTGACACCCACCCTTGCGTTTGCCATCGTCGACGTGTATAATAGTCAGGTCAGTTAGAAAAATAGTGTTCACAACGAACTTGACCTTCACTGGTTGGGTTTTTGTTGGCGGTCAAGCTGCAGATCCTGGCTACACAGGAGTTGCAGCGGTTGGAACTAGAGATGGGAATAGTCCTGTAGTGTTGTCGACGTCAGACCACCCAGCTGTAGGTCTACTGGCTAAGCAGACCAGTTGCCAGGTGTCCCAACTGACACCAATCCTTGCGTTTGCCATCGTTGACGTTTATAACAGTCAGGTCAGTTGATAGATGTAAACTAGTTGTTAGAAAGGATAGGACTTTTTTTTTGCGTCGGGAAATGCTTTGCGCACTGGCTGATGGGGACAGTCAGTCAGTGGGTTATGTGGGACTCTCCCCGCCAGAAGGGCGGGGCCTACCCACTAAAACCCGACGGTGTCCTCCGGGGCCATTGATACGAAGCGAGTTATTGTCCTATTGGACATTCGTCCGCGGCTCCGTCTCAGGCTACAGCTCGCTCTTGGGCGAGCCCCTCCAGCTTTGAGGCCTCAGCCTCGAGTTTAGCGGGCAGCGGGGCGGGAGCGGCGGCGGCGCGGGAGCGGGGCGGGCAACGCAGACCCGTTCTCGAAACAAGCAGGCAGCTCGCGCGGCGCTTTAGCGGCGAAGTGTTGTGTTCGGGGTTGTGTTGTCGAGATATTTGTTTTTATTCGCAAACGAAATGTCTGAACAACGGCGACAATTTTATTTCGATTCAAATTTATTCCTAACGCTCGATTTATTGTGGGCAAAAGAAGGAGTGCGCTGCCCGCTCGTTGCCCGCTGCCCGCTCGTTGCCCGCTGGATGCCCGCTCCCGCGCCGCTGTTTTCGAGAACCGGTCTATTTGATTTTACGCATAAGATCCTGCCGCTCCCGCGCCACCGCCTCTCCCGCCCCGCTGCCCGCTAAACTCGAGGCTGAGGCCTGAGGGGAATAGTGATTCCCCTCGGGTCGTTCGCTAACGGCGCACTGGACACCGGTGCGCCGGCGCCACGGGAGAAAGGATAGGACTAGGTGGACTGACGATCTGGTGAAGGTCAAGGCAAGTACCTGGATGCGGGCAGCGCAGAACCGCCAAACCGGAAATCCTTGGAGGAGGCCTATCCAGCATTGGATGTCGTTTGTCTGAAACAAACAAAGTACTTACTTACCAGTTTCTGATACTGTTACAATTTTTAACGTCAGTTACCTAAAGTTTTAGCATTTTTTTACTATTGTTAATGTGCATTAAGTATGTATTTCTTTTGACACAGTCGCACGTAATAAATTGGTCCTATTTAATTAACTTGAATTCCTAGCTCGCAGAATTGCTAAAATCAAGTGGCAGTGGGCGGGGCACATAGCTCGAAGAGACGATGGCCGTTGGGGCAGGAAAGTTCTCGAGTGGCGACCACGGGCTGGAAGACGTAGCGTGGGCAGGCCTCCTACTAGGTGGACCGACGATCTGGTAAAGGTCGCGGGAAGAGCCTGGATGCGGGCAGCGCAGGACCGTTCATTGTGGAAAACCTTGGGGGAGACCTTTGTCCAGCAGTGGACGTCATTTGGCTGAAACGAACGAACGAATTAACTTGAAGAGAGAGAAAATATCACGCAAACGAAGTTGTTGTATGTGAGGTCATAGAATAAATACTATTACCCCCTTATTAATAAAAAGTTACACCCTAGTTGTAGTTGAACACGTTTTAAAGTGACGTTGAGTATAGAAAATGTCACTTTAAAACATGTTCAACTAGGGTGTAACTTTTTATTAATAAGAGGGCTAAAGTTAAATTACTTACTTTTGTCATAAGTACTTGCCTTTACATATTGAACATTGTAATCTCCACTTAATATGATAAACTCTTTCAAGGGCACCACAGAATAAGATGAAGGAAAACCCTCCCAAAAACGTCAACATAAGTCCTAAGCCAACATCCTTAATATTCGGGATATTCCTTTGGCAACTTAGAGAAAGGAATTTTTATTATAACGGGAAGGGGTCACGGTTACTATAGCTTCACCGTGCCCGTATAATATTTATGCGAAACTAGTTTTACATGCGGTTTTGTACACGAGTATTTTGGCCTGTCAGGGATTTTGTGCACCATATCATAGTTCAATAAAGTATCATATATCTGTTTATTTGAATCTGTTATAATCGGTTCAGCCGTTTTGTGACCGTTTAGGACACTAATAGGAAGGAGTAAACAGACGGATAAATATTGGTTAAATAACTTAATACGGGATTACTGTAAGTACATAAACGCAATGCGTAAAAAAAGCAATGCTTGGTAGACATTGTTTTTCACCGAATTCCTACTACTTTAATTTCATAAATAAATGCATTTAGTAATTTAGTCATAATATTAACAGAAATTTTAACTTGATTTATTCGTATCTTATTTAAGTATGTACTTATTATTATCTATTCAAGATAAGTACCTGCGTAAGGGTAAGGATATAAGTTTTATTAGAAAAAATATTGTAAGATCTTTTGTATTAATGTTACAGAAGATCTTTTTCAAGGTACTTGAAATTTCTGTACTGTGTAGTTCCTTGAAACGGTATAATACCTTTTGTCTTACGTTTTTCCATGTAAAAGGGATATTAGGTACTATATGAAATATGAGCTCCTCTTTATTATATTCTTTTGATTTAATTTTCTGCGAGTTCCAAGATAGTTAGATGTCCCCCGGGACTAGCGTGCCCTTATTCAGTGGTCAGTGGCGGGTAAAAAACTATGTTAACCATCGGATTTGGGGATAGAAATACTTTGTAATACATCTATATATTGCTCTAAAATCTTAGATAGTACATTTTTTTGCGCCAGGCTACAGGCAATTTTAGCAGAAACTATTTATAATGTTAGTGCATTCAGCCAAATGACGTCCACTGCTGGACAAAAGCCTCCAACAAAGATTTCCATAACGATCGGACTTGCGCCGCCCGCAAATATTTTCAAATTGTAATCGCACTTTTTTATACAAATTTGCTTATACAGGGTGTTTGGCGGAAGGTTTGACAAACTTCGTGGGTGTAAAAATAAAATAATAAAAATAAAAAATAAATAAAATAAAAAAATTGAAGCAGTTTTTAGGTCAACTTTCGGAAAAAATTAATAAAAAAGAAATATATCAATTAAACCACGTGGTAGATCACCATTGAGATGGACGGACCAGAGGTGGAATTGTGTAAAGCAATCGTAATCATTTGACAGTTCATAACGTACGATAATGTCAATTAAACAAAGCGTTTGACAGAATAATCGTACGTTATGAACTGTCAAATGAATACGATTGCCTTACACAATCGCACCTCTGATCAAGGCCGCAACTAAGTGCTCGGTTAGCGAAAGTACCCGGAGAGCTGCAGTCCGCGAGGAATGACGCCGTATTACGAGGAAAATCACTCTGAATCGTGATTCACAATGATGACCACGACCACTCTGACAAGTGTACCGACTGAGAAGAAGAATATCAATTAAAAAAAAAGTAGCTCTCGTAGGGTCAAATGGGCGAACTTGTATTCTTAAAATGACCTTACCTATACACCCACGAAGTTAGTCTAACACCTTCCGCCAAACATCCTGTATAATCAGAATATAATAATTAAAATCCATGCGCAAAAAAATATTTTTTTTTGTTGACCAGTGTTAAATAGATCTACCCATCACTACCATAAAAGACCATTGAAGAATAAAGTAAGCTGTTTTATTTTGCAGCTCAGCTTGGGAATGCCCCTAAACAATGAAATTGACGCAGCATGGCCTGAACTGCAAGCCGCCGCCGGCGCAGCCATCGACATCGTGTTCGGGGACGAAAACTACATCGCTCTTGAGGCTGGTAAGTGTTTAATAATTTTATTACATCATCTAAAGCCTGGTCCGTGAGCACGTAGAATCCCGTCCAATGACCCCAAGCTGCCCATCCTTGTCGTAATTATGTTGCTCGCACACTCACTGCGGGCGCGCGTCGCACAGTCGCGACAGCAACATAATTACGCGCGAGCGATAAGGATGGGTAGCTTGGGGTCATTGGACGGGATTCTACGTGCTCACGGACCAGGCTTTAAATACAACTGTAGCTACACATCACCATACACTATTACACAACGACACACACCTAAGCCGTGTGGTGACTGCAGAGTAGAATACATTTGTCACCAACCCCTACTCTTCCCACGGGTGTCGTAAGAGGCGACTTAGGGACTACACATCAAATAGAGAACGGGCAGCAGCACTCTCTAAAAACATATTAAATCTTTTAAACTACGATCTCCAACCCGTCTGCCAAGCGTGGGGATTATGGCAAAACCCTCCACCATAGTGGAGGAGGCTCATAGTCCAGCAGTGGACTGTAAAGGGCTGTTGATGATGATGAAGATACACCTAAGTAATCGTGTCATTAAGAATATCGTAAAAATTAATTACACTTTAATCTTTATAGCTCAAGTTAAGACAAATTAGCTAAAACACCTTCGATTGTTTTTGCGAATGAAACTTATTGTCTTCTCCTTTAGCCAAAATAAACTTATAATCTTTGCTTGTGTTAAGAATGGGTTCACCACATCAGTCCAGCGGCGGTTTTTGAACCAGCGTTCCTCGGACCTCAAGTCGGCCAGTACGACACGTTCGTTTCAGCCGAATGACGTCCACTGCTGGACAAAGGCCTCCTCCAAGGTTTTCCACAATGAACGGTCCTGCGCTGCCCGCATCCAGGCTCTTCCCGCGACCTTCACCAGATCGTCGGTCCACCTAGTAGGAGGCCTGCCCACGCTACGTCTTCCAGCCCGTGGTCGCCACTCGAGAACTATTCTGCCCCAACGGCCATCGTCTCTGCGAGCTATGTGCCCCGCCCACTGCCACTTAATTTTAGCAATTCTGCGAGCTATGTCGGACACTTTGGTTCTCCTGTCGCCTCATTTAAATAAAATGATCTCCAGGGGTCCTCCTTAATGAATTCTACAAGGCTGCTTCTGGCGTCATTTCTGGGACCGAATCCAGGAGATTCTGGATATACTCTGGCCATGACCTGAACGTATATGGTCTTACTGCGGTGACGAAAGTCACTGAAAGGCAGGGTGTACCCAAGTACGCTTCAGCATACGCTCTCGAGCTGAGGAAAGTGGTGGAGACAGGCAAATATGTTGTGGTGGTAAGTTGATAATGTATTGTGTTTTTTATAAAAGTAACTAACTAGATACACAGTTGCTACAATTTGAAAGGTACGAAAAAAAACGTACAGTAAAATTGAGAGCGTCGTCTGTCGCAGAGTCGATCAAAAAGAAAATATGATACTGTGTGATTTACATAAAAAAATGCTAACCTACTGAAGGTTATTTAACGAAGTTTTTCTAGCAATTATTTTATCTCATTCATTTGTCCTAACTTCTACTCTACAGTTAGGTTTGTTTAGGATCTGAAAAAGTTGAATATTATCTAATTTCCACACAGTTTTTTATTTGATGTAAAACCTAAAGTTATAAAAAGGCTACCTACTCAGCTTAATGTTTTGTTTTGTATCGATCTCCACCTCCAATTTCAACATATTCTTCCATCTAACGGTTGAGAAACCAGACCATAGTTTTAAAAAAAATTCTGGCGCTAAGAGTCTCCTCTCGATCTAAATTTTAAAACAACTTGAATAAGTTAAAAAAAGTATCTAAGTAGCCACCGCCGTCCACCCACAAGGTGGACCGACGACCTCATAAAGGTAGCAGGAAGGCGCTGGATGCAGGCCGCTACCAACCGGCCATTGTGGAAATCAAAGGGGGAGGCCTATGTTCAGCAGTGGACGTCCTATGGCTGAAATGATGATGATGTCTAAGTAGCTCAGATGGTCTAAGAACAAGGTCGGTCGTGGGTTCGATTCCCACCTTAGGCAATTCGATTTTTTCAAGCCATTTTAAAATTTAAGCCAATGTGTCTAATCAATAGACCACATATTTCTTCCAGCCGGTCTACCTGCCAAGCCCAGGGGAAGAATTAAAGTACCTAGAAATAGAAGGATGTGGTACCGTCTGCGATTACCAGCAGTTTGTGAACATCACCTCCAAATATGCCCTGGATGAAACCACCTGGAGAGCCAGGTGTGGCTTCTCTGATGACCTGGTTTTCGATGAGGATCATCTTGCCTAAATCCAAATCGGGAGGTAGTTTGTAAGTGCATGCTTTTGACACAGTAACTTTTGACAACGTAGATTATAAGGTTTTATAATAATTGAGATTTTGACATTAATTTTAATTTTTGTGACACTTAGGTAATATAGAAATTAGGATTTCTACATTTTATATACCTAGAAAATTGTATTATGTAGATTGTAGGTACTTTAGTGCAAGCCAATAGATTTCAGTAAGGTAGCATAAAGCCGAATAACTTTGACTTTGAATTGATAACATACATTCATACCTATTACCTAATGATACAGTCAACAGTCTATATCTATTTTTTTTACTGGAAAAACTATCAAAAATCGCGGAATATACATGGGGGTGATTCGGCTTGACACTACTTTTTGGGACACCCTGTATATTAACCTAACATATTATTATGCTGAAATATATTGGCATGCATGATAACTATAAATGAATATCTCTTTTAAAAGTACGCAAGACTTATTATTTTAGGTCCCAGTAGGTGAGTACATTGCATTTTTATTACATGACTACTATGTTTTTTAACAATTGACTCATTTTAGTTCGTAAGCTTTTAATGATTTGTGTGTGATTTTGCATGGATTTGTATTTTTTGAATTAATTGATAAGGACAAATACAATTTTGAATTATTGGAGAAAATAAATGTATTGACATCTTTGAAACCTATTTAGTTTTAATATAACTTATTACTTACTTCTATCAATATCAGATAGGCAACTAAATTTAATAGGGTGAATGTACCAGTCATAAACCATTTCAGGATTTTTAAATATTGTAGGTACTAATTGCGACTTTTATTTAAAGTTTAAGAAATGTTTTTGTTTCCACGAAGTCACGAATCAAGTTTACCCACCAGTAGCCAGTGATTAGGATATTTTAAAGCGACTATTTGTTTGGTAAATCGGTTCATTATAATTTCGAATCCTATCTAAATAAACGTTAATTATATTCTAGTGCTATCTTAAAAATGTGTTTACGAATTAAAGTACAGTCGACCGCACATCTAGACTAGATAAATTTTTGTTGCAAAATGACACTTATGGCCACGACATAAGATGCTACAGGGTTTGGTTTGATGTGCTGTCTTCTGTACTGTACTATTATAAGTAAGGAGGTAGGTATGCAATTAAGATAGCAGAGAGGTAAAACCAACGTCAGTCTAGCGATTGTTGCCCATGAATTTTAATTTTGAATTGCAGATCACAATATTATTGATTGCTGATTAGGTACTATCCGTTCGCTTTAAGTTTGCCGCTGGCGATATGACGTCACTCGAAGGGAAACGTCTATAACTTAATCAAACTATATTTAAAATATTTTTTATTTATTATTATTGATACAAATTGTGTATTTGCCTAAAATAAAACACATTAATTGCATTTAATCACTAACTAATTGTGTTTAATCGCGGTTGGGAGAGGGGACGCGCATTCCACGGACCGGCAAACTTAGCGCGAACGGGTAGTACTACTATTCTCAAATATGTGGCTGGGAATCGAATTAACTCTTAAATAGGCGGAATAAAATATGATTTACGATTTCGGCAACTAGATGGCGCTGTCTTGAATTAGATCACAATGACATGAGAAACTTGTTTTCCATATTATTATTGAGTAGGTAAGTATATTATCTAGATATTTTAAAACGATTTTTTTTCAATACTTTATCATTAATGCTTTAATGAAAGCCGTTTTTTATCATGTCACTTACAATCTAGTCTGGCTAGATTTAATTCACAATAAAGACAATTTTAAATTAATAATGTGGAATAAAACTAAAGTAAATTGTAGGTGTTGTTTATTTTACATGAGCTCAATTTGTGATTTGTGTTTATGCTGTTTGTGACATAAATACTTAATTACGATTTTTATTTAACATCTTAATGTATAAATAATGTTACTTAATCATCTTATTGACAATAGTCAGTATACTTAGTCAATGTTTTTGCTGATTTGTTATACATTTTATAAGGTTTTAAATAATCTATGGCATCAAACATAGACCCAGTTTAGGTACAGAAACTGGGTATATAAATAAATAAATAAATAGGACATTTTACACTGCGCTTCTAGTCCCAAACTAAGCAAAGCTTGTACTATGGGTACTAGACAACGGATTAATTAGACTTAAATGTTGGTACTGTGCGGGAATCGAACCCGTGACCTTTCGGCATAGAAGTGCGTTACGAACCACTACACCAAATGGCCGACAAATAATTCAATATCACAATCAGTTTGTTGATACAATGATAGTTGGTTAAAAATATTTTTATGCAAATGAGGAGCTGTCGATAACCAGGTCCTTTGTGAAGCCACACTTGGTCCTCCAGGTGTCTTCGTCCAGGGCATACTCGGAGGTGATGGCCACGAAGTCGTCGTAGTTGCAGACGGAGCCACAGCCTTCTATTTCCAGGTAGATGGGGTCTTGTCCTGGACTGGGAAGGTAGACGGGCTGGAAGAATGGTTAGAAAATTAGAAAACTTTGAGAATAAGCACGAAGTTTAATGCTAGTAATATTTAAAGGGTTGGCACTTCTTCTGAGGTGTGGGTTTCAAAATAACTGTAGTGTCCGATTTTAGGACGTTGCACACTTATCAACCCGGAAAGGGATCGTAACTAGGGATTGCAATCCGGTATCATTTTCAATCCGGCCAGATTTCACCGGATTGACGCTAATCCGGACGAATCCGGCCGGATTTCAAAGTTACTTGGTCTAGTATTTAGTGATTTTTAGTTTTGATAATAGTACCTTCATAAAAAGAAAAATAAAATACGTATTTATGGAAAATAAAGTCACTTATATTTATATTTTTCGGTATTAATTGTAATTGTTGGTAAGTACCTACTATTTGTACTAATAAAATTATGAAAATTCTAAATAATAAAGTTAGTAATCAGTCTGACTCTCACTTATTGCTGTATGTAAGTATCTGAAAGTACTTAAGTAATAATACTATTAGACTCTTATTAATAATCTACACAGACTTAAATCAACAAAACAGTCTTTTAAATTTGTACTTATAAATTCAACTTCAGTTCTTTTTAAGAAACAATCTGACTCCTAAGAAACAATAAAACAAGAAGCATTTATTTTTTGCAAAGGAAAATGCAATACATATAAATGTCGCGGCACGTCTAGCGATTTGGAAAATGCGCGCGCGCTCGACTTTCCCAGTTCACGTTCGCATATTTTTGGCTTTACCGGATCCGCCACCGGATCCGGCGCCGACTCACCGGATCCGGTAGGTCCAAAAACACACCGGATCCGCCGGATTACCGGATCCGCCGGACCGGATTGCAATCCCTAATCGTAACCGTATCAACTCGAGGCGGTCAGTATTGTTATTTATATGAATTCCATACTGCAACGCACACACTTATCCGTACTTAACGGCGATAAGGTGTTGATCCCTTTCAGATTCGATAAGTCTGCTATAACTTTTAATGTGTCATTAAGCGCCTTAGCTCAATCAGATCAGTTAACCAGTCTTTCGAAGCACGGCATCATTATAATTTTCCGATAGTCAGGTTGACGCCTGCTATATCTGTGGTTTCTAATCCAGTTAGGATGATACACACGAGTTATTCTAGATTATATGGGCACCATTCTAGATTGGAACTCGAACTCCACACTTCAAATCAAAAAGTGCAACAGAGTACCAAAATAAGATATGATTTAAGTATAAATGAAATAATGAATGTTATGGGGAAAAAATGTTTCTTACCACTACAACCAATTCGCCAGTGTGCACATTTCTCCTCAACTCGAGGGCGTACGCTGAATTGTACTTGGGGACTCCTTGCTTATTGACGATCTTGGTCACAGCCTGGAAGGAATAGACGTTGAAGTCGTGCGCAGAGTAGATCCTCATTCTGGAAGTGTCTCCAGTGGTGACTTCGGAGACTGCATCGTAGAACTTGCTGAGGAGGACCCCTGGATATGGAAAGAGTGAGTTCAAAGTTTATGTATAATTTATTTTTTATTTGGAATCGAATCGAATCTCCGGGTTATCGCGAAGTTTGTGGCTTAGGTGTTGAGAGGAGGCCATGGGTCGTCGCATACTGCTCAAAAACACCAATTAGCTTTCTGAGAGCGGCGATTGATGGGCTGAGCAACACCATGTCATCTGCATAGCTAAGGTAAACGGCTACTAGTTCGTGATAGTACGTAAGTTCGTAAGTTTTTTTTCTAGCTCAAATAATAAGCAAATGGAATATTATTTATAAAAATTCTTCATTACTACAAAAACTCTATTATATAAGCTATCTAAAAAACCAAGTACCAACATTGTGGCGCCAAAAATGAGAGCAGTACGAAGCTTCAAACTCTCAGAGAGCCAAAAACAGCCGTGCGGCGTGCAAAGGTTGCTCTCACCGTAAGGTTAGCGCTCCAACTTCTTAAGCTTATAAAAAGGCGAAGGAACGTCCATTTAAACAAAACTTGTAATAGTGATTTCATGTGTTCCTTGACGATTGATTTGGCTTAGAAAAAAGTTATATGAAAACGTAGAATTCCTTTAAAGTTGCGATTAATTGACTCACGAAATAGCGTACATATTATTTTTCGGGTGTCCCCTATTTCGTGACACTACCGATTCAAGGATATTATGGATAACATTTTGATGCTTGGTTTTTAAATAATTATTTATGATAATTTAAATGTAAGTTATGAAACAAATAATGCATTTATTTAAGTTTCTCATGACCTAAATTCGGTATATGTTTCGTTCACTAGAATTTATATGACACGAGTTTGCAGTTCACATATATGACCAATTTTAAGATAAATTAGCATAAGTAGTTCCTGCATAATTTTGGTTTTATTTCGATTTGTTTTATTTTTCTTTGTTTATTTGTATTGTATATGGGTTAGATAATAGTTAATTGACACATTTTGACAATAATCCATGAATTTTACTTGGGGAATTTGGAATAATCAGTATCACGAAACAAGGAACCGTATTATTGTTACTTTTTTCCAAGTTCGTGATACATAAATGTATGGTGTTAGGTACTTTTATGACACATACCATCAAAGAAATCGACATATTTTTTAGTTTTTAATACTTACCTACCTAAGAAATTAATTAATTACTTACTTTTTATTATGAGTCATTGGCGTATCTGGTGTTATTTTCAGGGGGGCTACCCTCACGTGAAACAGCTCCAGGGGTGAGAAGGGGGATTAGTCCCCCCCCNACAAATCTAAATTTTATGGGTACGAAGGGGGGGGAGTAAGTCCCCCCACATTTCTAATGGTTATATAAATATTTTCACATATCGCTAGAAATAACAAATCAAAATTTTATGGGTACGAAGGGGGAGGGGGGGAGGGTTAAGTTCCCCCCCCCCCCTACATTTCTAATGGTGATATAAATATTTTCACATATTGTTAGAAATAACAAATCAAATTATTTCTTATGAATATTCGTCATCCATTTTATATAAATTATATGTATGTATTTATGTATATATTTTGTATAAATATATATTATAATATTTTATGTATCATATTGTGTACATTTTTGTAGCTTTTTAGCACCGCCTACTAAATATCTCTGCTTTGCTCAAGGTCAGCTGGTAGAGAATGACGTATGGCATTAAGCTCGCCTTTTTGTACAGAACATTGTTGTGTGTGCAATAAAGTCTTTAAATAAAAAAATATTTCAGGTAAGTAATATCGTCAAAAAAAAATTATTAAACCCTTAATCACTATTAAAATATCCTAACTGGATGCATAAAACCTTATCCTTATCCCGAAATAGGGGACATGAGTTCACGAACTTAGAAACAGAGCAAAATTTTGTCACGAAACAGGATCCAAACAAGAGGTCCGCAGAACAATTAATATAAAAAAAAGTTTAAACTATATAACTATAAATTATGTATTAACTTACTGTCAAAAGACCAAAGTTTAGCATACAAAAGCTTTCATACTGATATCATGCTTGGTTATTTTTAAATAAAATGTTAAAGTCGTAAGAGCCTTAATATACCGAAGTAGGGGGCACTTACCTTAATGCTGTTGATACAATGACCATCAATCGAGAAGCCGACTCCTGTGTTGCTCAGTTCAACAATCAACCGATTCACATATATACAAGTTAAACAGTGAAGGAGACGTTAACCCCCCCTGTCTCACTCCACATTCCAACCTATACTCATCAGAAAGCTTACCAAGCCACCCTGTTCGGTGGTCATACCAATATTTGAGAACATTAATTAAACCACCCGGCATACCAGTATTATTTAATTTACGCCACAGAATGTTATAGCTAACCAGGTCAAATGCCTTAGTGAGATCAAGAAATGCTACATACACAGGTGTGTTCCTATCGGTGTAGTACCTAAAAACCTGCTTGAGAAACATAATCGCGCATCCTGTGGATAGTCCGGGTCTGAAGCCGAAACTTGAATTAATATGAAGACGTCATCATTTTGAAAACTTACCAGCTTGGAATGGGAGAAGGGTTTCGTTTCCAAACACTAGTCCGATGGCGATGCCTGCTGCCGCTTCTACGTCAGACCACACGGCTTGTATCTTAGGCTCGAGGGGCAATCCCAAACTGACCTGTACATACAGACACTATTGTATATCCCGCTAAACAAGAAAAAAAGGCCATCTTAGAGCTATGAAGCGATCTCTTCCAGTCAACCTAGGGACAAGACAAATACTTAATAGGAATGATGACAGTGTGACCTCTGAATGTTATGTGTAGCTAAGGCTTTGTGAATGAATATTTCATAGGTATCTTTATTGAATATCTTTATTGCATTGTGGCAATAGGTGTATACTGAGTCTTCCAGTGACTTGGCCCACTTTTAGCTTGGTCCATGGGCCAAGTCGCTGGATTGAATATTTAAATATTTTTTCTTCCAGAAACTGGGCCCACTCTAACATTCTAGAGGAGATTGTTGTTGATTTGGTGTTTAATTTATTAATAAAACATTGAAGGTGGGCCAAGTCATTGGAATAATAATACTCTGGAATATTGTGTCTTGTGAACTCGAGTAAAATTAAATTAACATTACTGCTAAAGTTTGATATGTAATGGATTTATAAAATTTATTCGACATTGACGTCAGAAGTAAAACAATCTTAATTACACGACATAAATATAATTTATCTCATCATCATAAACACCCGCTATAAACTGAATCTACTGTTTTATTACGGCTAATAATATACAATGAAATTGCATACAATAATCTATTTAAATTATTGGAAGGTTGTAAAAGTGATCAAAATATTTTTTTGGCTGCAAATAGATTTGTTTAAGTCTTATCTTACAAAAGATAAATGCATAGGTATCGAATGATATTTTTTTCCTTTTTCCACAAGTCCTTTATTATTTTTAAGAACTCTTTATAAAAAACCCTTCATTATCAAGTAATCTATTAATCTTCATAAAACTGGAATTGAATTTACAGCCCGCTCCAGTTCCCCGGGGAGTTCAAGTTTCCTGAAATTAGCTTAAAACGGAATTACAACGTTCGTAATGGGAATTAGCAAAACTAGGATATTCTATCATTATTATTTTATTTAGAGACAGAATTTAGATATTAAAAATCCCATATTTTTGACGATTATACAAGTTATATTATTAACTTTTTTCAATACGCTATACACTCATTTACTTACACGCACCCTCTGTCTACCACACGTGCTATTTTATTCATTGTTTTTTCTATTAAAATTTGTCTTTTAAAAAATATTTCGCTCTAATTTAATTTCTAAACGCTGCACTGGTAATCCCCAAAAGAAGTAGGTATTAAGTATGATTATTTTATGGGGGCTTTATCAGTGGATATTTGTTAATTAAGATTAAGTAAATAAATACAAAAAATGTTCTACAAAATTATCACGGTGCGAGTTTCGTCCTTGATGCGAAACGCAGATGCTTCACGCATAATTTAATATTTTAACAATCGGTTCAGTGTAAGTACCTATGCACATTAGAATTTTAACGAGTCAATTTTTATGTGTTACGTAATTTCGGGTTAAGAATTATATTTATTTATTGATGTGTTAAATTTCAATGGGGTATGGCCAATTACGGCATGTATATTTGTATAGTCTTGTGCTTAAAATATTTTTTTCCTTCTTTTGTTTGGTCGAAAATAGGCGACTTGACCCTATAAAGTCTGGTTTCTTACCTGGCTAGTGTAGACATCGTATACAGCGTAAATGTAGCCAGAATTCTGGAACATGTCCAGGCCAGTGATGTTTGACAGGAGGGATACGGCGTAGCTGTAGTTCAAGATGGCCGGTGACGTGGTGCTCAAGAGTTGTCTGTAGTCGTTCATGAAGTTCGGGCAGTTCGCGAATGGCATGTTCTGGAAAATATATTTCGGTTAAACTGTTTTGGCCAAACAATTATTTATAGTATAACAAAACTCGAATCACAATTTTAAATTAAAGATCGTCTAGAAATAAACACAGAGACTAAAATTTATAACTTAATTAATTATGCTACCTTAGGTAACAAAAAAAAAAAAGCTTCAAAAACCTTATAAATTATGTTTCGATCATCATCATCATTTACGTCCAAACATAGGCCTCCCCTAATAATTTCCAGATTGGCCGATTGATTGCGCAGTCTTCTTGCAACCTATTTGTCCACTAAGTGGGTGAACGATGTTTCGATCCTACCCATAAAATGTATCAAAATGAACACTTACGAAATCATATTTAGCGGGTACATTAGTATACGGCACTGGGGTCCAGTCGAGGCCCCTAAAGACTTTCTTGACAGGCGGGTAGATGGCTGCCAAAGCTGACAGTATGGTCATCTTAGCCCTGGTGGAGTCGGTAGACCTGATGTAGATCTCGGACCGGTTGAACTGACGCGCTATGAAGCCATCGTATCTTTTCCTAATAAACTTGCCCAGTTCGTAGCTACGACGCTTGCCGACCTGTTGAAAAATATATGTGAATTAAAGTTTGTCAAAGAAATTCTTTGTCGCGTGTTCCCTTTTCCAAAACCTTGTTTATTAAAAATCATACAATAATGCTTTCATTTTTATCACTTGAAAAATGATATTTAACTTGCTATGTAAGTTAAGTATGTTTGGTTCAAACTGAACTTCCTGACTATCGAATGAACTAATTTTGCATACACACATGTATGTGTGCAATAAAGATTTTAAATAAATAAAATAAATAAATGTAGGTACCTAAGTAATTCAAATGACAATGCAATATAATGATGTCATGGAACTGTTCTGATGATTTACCTAGTATGAGGTGGCTATAGGAACTCTATGACGAAATGATGACTTTGTCGAGTTAGGGCTCGATTTATTTGTCAACAATTACTGTGGTCTTAGATGATATCCAGATATGATGATATAGCCATAAAAGGTCTATTCCACCTTGAAAGAGAGACCAAAGGTCTATTCGCCTGTGAAAGTGGACGCCAGCAGGCCTAAGATGCGCGCCGCGATAAGCGGTTATCATGCCATTTTATCGATTTTGCCCATACATTTTGACGTCGATAAAAGTTATCAAGGCTTACTGGTGGGTGACACTGGTGTCCTTGTCAATTGATCACCCATGGATAAAAAATCCACTTTGATCACCTAGGTGACTTTATCCATGGATGATCAAAGGACACCAAAGTGTCGCCTGGAGTCCACTTTGATCACGTGGGTGATCAAAACCAGGTGATCAAAGTGGAACGAGATAAAACCTTGTTTTTAAAATGTTTGAAGTTATACATACTGTAGTCAGTTGTCCATAGCCGTAGGGCGCGGATAATTCTGCGAGTTTGTCAGGGTCATTGCTGAAAACCAGCGAGTCGGCTATTGGAGTCCTGTCCCCATGACGGTGCACCTGTGTTAAGAAATAAGATAAATTTTGATTAAGTTTTTAGTACTCACGGCTTGACGTTTCGGCTGCGATGCTGCAGCCGTGGTCACACACAAGCATACCTACTGGCGCGGCTCGCGGCGTCGTCCGATCGGGTGCTTGACTATTTTCAACTACCCTCATATTGTAATTTGTTACACTACTAGTGATGTTACCACGATACACAACACTCACAGTATCCGTATTCGGACTTGACGGCAACAATCGTGCTTTACATTTAATAATCACCGGATTCCACACTGGTAACAATTTAAACCCGTCCTCCCAGCTGATTTTTTTATTGCTTAATTTCAATCGCTTCTCGTACTATCTTAAAAAATAAATCTTAGGCCCAGAACACACGGTGAAACGAAACCGGTTGAAATGGTCGCGTCATGTGTGGTCTCTCAAATGAATCTATGGCAGAAACTTAGATGCAACTCAAAAGTAACTAGAAGTTGCAGTTTCGTTGCAATTGCGTTTCACCGTGTGTTCTGGGTCTTAGTGTGACAGTGTCGATCAGTGGAGAGGATTTTTGGATTGTGTAAGTCCAACCAGTGATTAACTCCTGTGCATAGCAGAGGACCGAAACGTCAAGCTGTATAATAATATGTTCTTAAAATTGTCGCATTGAAACCCGTTTTACTTATCTATTTTAGTTGAATTTTAAAATCTAAAAAAATATGTTTTTAAGAATCAATGTTTATATCCGTTGCCTGATGCCCATAGTAAGTACCTGCTTAGGTAAAGCTTTGCATAGTTTGGGACTAGATGGCGCAGGGTAAAATGTCCAAGGAAACTTATTTTTACTAGTGGCCACAGGCGACTTCGTACGCGTGGATCCCGTTTTACCCCCTTAGGGGTGGAATTTCGTAAATCCATCGGATGCCTACGTCATAACATCTACCTGCATGTCAAATTTCAGCCCGATCCGTCCAGTGGTTTGGGCTGTGCGTTGATAGATCACTATGTCTGTTACTTTTGAGATATGTATATTTAGAAGATACTTCGTTCGCGCCTCAGATCATCTATGATCTGAGGTTCGCGCTAAGTTTGCCGGTCCGTGGAATGCGCGACCCCTCCCCCAATCGTGATTAAATTCAAATTCAAAATTCAATTCAAAATTATTTATTGTGAAACATAGGTGTTTACAGATAAAAATATTACATTGTGATAGTCTCACTATGTTTCGCCTGGTTGGCATACAATAATATAAGTGATTAATAAATCAATGAATAAATTAATAATTCACATGCATTAATGACACAAAACACTTGATTGCTTATTAAGTAGTCAAAACTATAAGTCACTAGTCGTCGTAATATTACAATGTCAATTCAATATTAGTTAGCGATTAAACGCAATTAATGTGTCTTATTTTACGTAAATAGTCAATTTTTATCTAAGTATATTAATAAATAAAAAAATATTTTCAATATAGTTTGCTATAGACGCTTTCCTTCGAGTGACGTCATATCGCCAGCGGCAAACTTATCGCGAACGGATAGTACATCAAAGCACTCACCAAAAAGGTCAACAGAAGCTCAGTTCCTTTTATGATTTTATCAGTTTCATCAGCCTTACGAGCAGTAGCCCCAGCCAGCAACAACACAGCACAGCACAGCTTGATCATCGTAGCAACTGGTGTTCTACAAAGTAAACTCGGCTGTTAAATATGTAAAGTAATCGCAAATTTATGGCACTAGATTACTGTTTGATTGACATTAGGTACAACTGTGTAAATAGGTGCATATCGGTAAATTTCCTAGGTAGGTAAGAGAGAGAGAGAGAATAATATTTAATCAGTAACTTTTATAACTTATAAAAAACTTTAAAAACTGTAGGTTTTTGTTACACAACTGAAACCTGAAACCTCCCAGAGGTTTACATCATTTAAAAAAATATACAGGGTGAAATTTAAATTATTGGCATCCCTTTAAAATAAGAATCTACCCATGATAAGTAGGTAGTTATGTTTTTTTTTATATGTTTTTGTAATTTCATTTGATGTTTTTTGAACGTTATTAGAAAAAAATTGCTGACACGAAGGAATAACTTAACCCTTAATTAGTCGCATGGGGTCAAAGCATTTTCGGATTCAAAAATGAAGCACTTGGCGCGGCCCGATTTCCTCCGCGCCCCCGGTAGCTTCATAAAACACGTCTTAGTTTGTATTTTGATAGCGACTAATTCACGGGAGTGGAAGGATGCGTCGCTGCGCTCTTGAGTGGTGACCCCATGCGAGTAATTACGTAACTTTTTTGGAAGAGGTAAGTTTTTTGTTTTATGTATTTATTTTGTGTATTATGAATAATATTTGTGTTATTGTATATTCAGTGAATAAATGTTTGTTATAAATGTGTTTTTACAGCTCTAAAAAATAAAAATATTGATAAATTCAGTTTTACTACTACTTTGTCTTTTTTTTTTTCAGAGTTAGTAGAGATAGGAAAAAATAGCAAATTGTGCAATGGTTGGAAGATGTTTCTGATGAAGAAGAAGTTGGAGGGTCGAGTTCTGAGCCAGAGTTAGATGAAATAACAAAAAGCGCTAATGAGATCGAGCAATCCTCCGCACAATCAAGTGAATCGAAAATGCAAGAAATGTACAAGATTTGTGTGCAATGATCACTCTGAAATATACTGTCAACAGTGTAACAAGAATGATTCGGAGAGTTCCTAAAAAAATACTAGACCTAACCTTTGATCTTGGTATACCTAAGTACAAATTGTTAATTATTGACAATTATTTTAATTTAGCTTGTTTTTGTATAATTAGTAAGAAATTCATGTTATTACCCATAGATATTAAAGAATAAATAAAGCATTTTTATAATAATATAGTTTCATTTACTTACAAATTTCAGTATGTATTAAAAACTACTCACACAATTTGGGGTCATCTGTGACCCCATGCGAGCAGTTATGTAAGATTCTTTATGCGAGTAATTAAGGGTTAAATTCTCGACTAATTCACTTTTTAAATTAATTTTTAGAATCAGTTGATCCGATGAAGAGCTACATTAATACTTACAGACCATGGACCAGACATAAAAAACAAACACACGTCAATCTCAAACACTATTTTTTCAGCGGGGATAAAAAAAATACTTACATATTATTATTACTATTACTTATTGTACATTAGGCTATATACTAGCCATTTATGTACCACAGATATTTTGTGCGGAGCGAGTAGTTGTTCGACTACTTACCTACCATCGACTGTGAATTCTAATTTATTGTTTTTGGATGTTGTTTTAATGTGACATTTTAAAATAATGATAGGTAATTTACTTGTACCATTTTAACAGCGATTCTCAAACTTTTTTTTTTTATGCATATAATTTTATGCAAGGCAGGTATTGTTAAATGAGATGCAATCTAGGATGGTAATAGGCCCTCAAAGTGCCTATTCACTCTCGCCTTGAAAAGGCTCGGATTATAGTGTTTGGAAAGACATCAGCAGGTAGCGATCCTAAGATAATAATGTTCACCTAGGAAAAGTTAGTATTGTGGGCAGGCCCCGCACTAGATAGACCGACGATCTAGTAAAGATCTCGAGAGGTGCCTGGATGCGGGCGGCGCAGGACCGGTCGTGTGTAAATCCTTGGGGGAGGTCTTTGTCCAGCAGTGGACGTAATTCGGCTGAAACGAACCAGGATACTACTGGGATCCAATGACTCCATGTTGGAAATCCAATGACAAACCTGGACTCCATGTTGGAAAAACAAAAACTATGTACTTAAAAAAGTCGGTAATTGTTCTTCACGCTATTGGCTATTTAGTAGTAGGAATAAAAATATAAAAACTAACAAAAATGTTTGAGGTTCGAACGTCTTTAGCGACAAATTAAGTTTCAAAACATTTAAATAGCACAATACAATATTAAATGATCACTCATTGCGTATACCTACAATAGGTTTCCTGAAAGCAATTGTGTTACTATTTTAGAACAAGCTGCATCCATGTTTATGTAGGCTTAGGTTTTATGTTATTTTCTTATTTTTTTCATCATCATCATCTCAGCCATGTGACGTCCACTGCTGAACATAGGCCTCCCCAATGCTTTCCATGTTGCTCGGTTGATAGCGGCCCGCGTCCAGCGCCTTCCCGCTACCTTTATGATGTCGTTGTTCCATCTTCTTCATTAATTCGCTTTTTCAAATCTTCATAATATTAGGTGCGTTCTCTGTACATAATTATCAATATAGGTATCTAAGAATATTTTCTTTATCATTATTTCAATGTCTATTAAGTGCATATGTTAGATGTTTTTCTTGTTTTCTGTGGGACTTCCATTCGTATGACGTTCTCAGATTAACTTCGTGAATGATTAAGATAGGTATAAAGCGTTTTTTGAATACCTAATGCGAATTGAAAGTGATAAGTCGATTAATGTCACGTTTATGTTAAATCTTCGTTGACGAAAACTGCACATACTTAATTAGTTCAATTAAGATAACATGTATTATACAGTAGACTAATTGATGTTGTTGAGTAAAACAGAATCATGCGTGGAGGCCCGTACCGGAAAGCGCAGCGTAGGACGTCCACCCACAAGGTGGACCGACGACCTCATAAAGGTAGCAGGAAGGCGCTGGATGCAGGCCGCTACCAACCGGGCTTTGTGGAAATAATTGGGGGAGGCCTATGTTTAGTAGTGGACGTCCTATGGCTGAAATTATGATGATGATGACGAACCAAAACTTTCATACAAAGTTTCACTTCCATAGAATTACTTCCAGTTCAGTCAGTGAGCCCAGTCACTGGAAGAAAAAACTATTTAAAAATTCAAACCAACGGCTTGGCCCGTAGGCCAAGTTAAAATTGGGCCAACTCCCTGGAAGACTCGTAATAAATGTTTCTTTTTATTTATTTATTTATTTTATTTATTTATTTATTTATCTTGAGTAAGCCTGCAATAAACGATAACGTCGTCGAGCTTCAATAAATGAGAACATTGAAGCGCCATGACATTCACCGATAAGTCAGCCAATCCTCCACGCGAGACTCACGCATCAACGCATGCCTCATACACTCACTACATATCAACAAATATTGTAATTTTGTTGATAATTATGCAGCGATAAAATAAAATCAGTGATAACGAATTTTTATGATGACACTTTCCCAGGTGACTTACGCCCGTATTCACAATCGATGCTTGCTTAAATGAAGCAACAAATCGAATGCATAACGTTGAATAGAGCTCTGTTATTGGTTCGTGTGTCACCCTGTGCATCCATGCGCACTGTGAGAACTCATAGTAGGTAATGTTTGTGTATACAGGTGTATCCTTTTGTACTTGGACAACACTGAAGTGTCCAACATTTACAGGGAGGGGGCTACTATCAATACTTATTAGTTCCGATTTTTGCCACTTGACGTTTCAGAATCGTTCTACTACGAGTACTTAGTTAAAGGGTTCCTTTAAAAAACAAAAATTTATTTTTCATAGGTTTGCTCAAATGGAATATAATATTGAATAATAAAGTCATCGAAAAAAGTGATGATATAGAATCATCCTGTAGACGGGATGTTTATTATTATATAATTTATATTTTAATTGAAGATTAAGATACTGCATAAATGTCAATAAGTAAGTACAATAAAGTAGATGTTAAAAGACAATAACATATTGTAACTAGTAAGTACATAAAGATATTTTAAGTCCTTTAGAAGATCTAATTCTATACCTAATTCGTTTCAATATTGAAATACAGACATTCGTATTCAATGCTGTTGACATTGTTGTTATGGCGCCATCAGACTTAGGTATGAATAACAAGCCTTACCACCGACCAAACAGAAAAATCTGCTCCCATTGGGAATCGAACCCGGGGCCTCTGAAGCGGGTGGTCCACGAGACAGACAGAGGCGGTTAGACCTTAGGGCTCTCGCCTACGCCGACTTTTTGTAGTAATGCAGTTGCGCTGCTGTAGCGCATTAGTAGCGCGTTGGTATCACTTCTGTAGTGCGTTGCAAATGCGACTAACGCGCGTTAGTTGCGATGCTGTCACGCGTTTACGTTTACTTACATCCACACGTTCGTTCATTCCATCGTTTCAGCCGAAAGACGTCCATTCCCGGACAAATGCCTCCTCCAAGGATTTCCACAAAGACCTAAACGCGGGCGGCGCAGGTAGGTACTACCTCCGTTTAGGCACCTCCCGCGACTTTCACCAGATCGTCGGTCCACTTAGTGGGGGTCCTGCCCACACTACGTCTTCCGGCTCGTGGTCGCCACTCGAGAACCTTGCCAAAGCGGCCGTTGTCAAATTATTGTTATCACTGTCAGTTATCTGCATATTTATTTATATTATACTGCATAAAGTTTAGCTTCCCTGAAATAAACCTCGAGTTTCACAGACGCTTATTCCTATGCCATCTTCTATAATGGACGGTTTTCATTCGAAAGTAACCAAGATTCGTTTCCCTAAAGTTTGTTTGTGTCTTTAATTTTTGTTTCAATCAAAGGACGCCCACTTCTGGATAAAGGCCTTCCTGCTACACTGTCCGCATCCAATCCAAGACTAACGTAAGAACTTAAAATAAAACATCTTAGCAAACCCGCCTAGAGGACGGCCGCGCCACCTATAAGCCTGTCAATAAATTAGACTAATATAAAATAATTTTGTCTGTGGTAATG